ATTGACACCAGATCTCACTGATCCATTTGTGAAGGCTAATTACGTGCTTTACTCTTTGCCAAAACTGACAGCACGAAAATCGCTCTGGATGTGTCTACCTGGACATATGAGCTGGAAAAGAAGGTAAACCTTCGAGTTCGTACCAATGCAGTGAGCATAAACAGGCATTCCAGGACCATACGACAGGTTTCGGGTGCAAAAGAATGCCCTCCAACGAATATGATCCTTTTTATAGAAGTAAAACAGTTAGCCGATTCTGCGCTTAGCAAACGCATCTGAACTTCGACAGCTTTAGCACGATGAACTGGGATACTGAGCGTGTGAAGTGTCTGCGTATTACAAGTGAGATGTTGATGAGTAAAAGACCTGCGCTGGCGACCAATTCGAGCTGGACATTCAACCGAGCAAGACCATGTAGCTAGGACGTGTGCATCACGTCAGACTGGCTGATCCGTGACACCAACTGAAATGAATAGTGTCATAGATGCAATATTCAGGAAGCCTTAAGAAATTATTCGATGAAAGAAGAAAATCCGGCCATTAAAAAGTATAATCATCGTGACGACGGACTTATAGACGATCATCTACCTTTTTTTAAAGGATATACATTGTAATGGCGAAAAGGAAGTACATAAGAGCAAGCCATGGAGCCTCTGACGGCGCAAAAATTTGTTTTTGATACAAATGATGAAGACGAAAGTGTCGAAGATGATGAATATAACAACAGCACAACGCTTTCGTCTTGCTCCTACTATAGCAGCTACCGTACACATAGCCTAGATGACAGCGCAGTCTCATACGGGCTATTACATAATACTCGTCGTCTCGTGAGGGGTTGGCACAAATGCGGTCCCGCTAGAGCTTATTTTTTATTGGTTAGAGTGTCAAAGACCATAGCGCAGATGAAGGAGACGCTATCCTTAGTCGATTTTCCAATAGAAAATGCCACGTAGGCCGAAAGTCTAACGGCGAAGCCAAATTTGGGAAGTTATGGAGGAGGAGGAGATACCGGTGCTGGTGCGTCTGAAGGAATAAGTAGCATTCCATGATGCATCTTCGTTGCACGGTAGCATGCACATTGTATGTAGTACGCTTAATCTGAAGAAGCGTCTATTCACTAAATTTAGCTATTGTGAATCTAATAATAACCTCCTAAAGCTCTATTAAAGATTTTTACGTTGAGAAGATCGAAAGAAACTTTGCTAAAACGTATCTTTCAGGCAGCAAAGTCGGCCTCAAACCCAGCAAGAACTGACCTGCTGCTATCACGGCAAACGAACTGATACGAGTACACACCACTTATTACATTTACCAGCCGATTCTTTGTCAGTCAGTCGTACGCCTCGCACTGCTACACATACACATGGAGGTAGCACGCAAATTTAAACTGCTTAGTCGATACCAAACACAGCAAGAGCTAAGCTGCTTTTGCTATTACAACAAACGGGTTTTGTATCACAGAGGGTTTCTACTTTTACTTAAAATTCGACTTTGTGCGACCGGGCTCGCACGTAGTGTCCTCGCTGTTAGTGGGCAGATCGGCGCGTGGGCGCAAATTGATCTAGTGAACGAATTATAGGTCAAAATGGAGAGTGTGAAGCCAATCTTGTGACAGTTTCCTAATAGATGGAAAGACTCGTTAGTAGCCACGCAGTTTCTAATTCCATGTTGTGGATCGGTATTATGTGAGTAACAGTGTTTCAGTACTATACTCAACAAGCTTAACTTTATGCTTAAATTAAGTATTGTACTGATTAATTAACTTTCGCACATTTGTGGTACTGATAATAAGACTTACTCTTCACGTGCTCAACAACTTAAAGTATGATTTTGCGTCTGTCTCGGCAGTAAGCATAGTATCAGAATGTGGTCGGATGTTCATATTCTTTAGATAAAAAAATAAAAAGGTAATTGATATGTTCACTTTCTTTTTCTTTCGTAAAGTAAACGCTTGTCGCAATAAATTTTTTTGTCATTGGTTGTATTCAGTTGCGAAGTGCACTTGTTTTTCTTTTTAATTCTCGCAAGCCGAATAAAAGTTATGAATCCACGGCTTTGCCCGGTGGCCTAGTGTCCACACCTATTGTCATTACCTTAGACAGGGCGATTTTATAAGGAAATACGATGGCGACAACGCTCTTTGCGTACACTTTTTGCGCATACTTATAAGTAAATGGATTAGAGAGCCAAAGTTCAAGAATAGTTCACAAATTTCACAAGCATCTTTGAAAAAAAATTAGGCCACAATGCTGCATACTTGAGAACAATCGATTCTGTATAAATTCACAATACAATCGAAACGGCGGTCGCGCGTGTTTTTGAATGACATTAAACCGGGCAAGGATAATAATATAATAATTACAAGATATTTTATGGAACAAGGTGAAATCAGTAGACGAAGAAAGCGATGGTGGCGACAAAGACGATGAAGCTCATGTATACACATTTATGAATCAGCAGAAATAGGGATGTAGATGTTACACAACAAAGAAGATGCCACATAGGATCATCACAAAGTGTAGTACCGCGTGGCTACAAGATGATTCGCTGTTGTTAGAAACACCACGCAATACTGCACTTTTTTTGTTTCTTTTAATTGACACATTTAAGTGCATAAAAAATCGAAGTGTGCGTCTACGTAAAATTTATTCCGCTCGTAATTTACTCATATAAGACAAGGGAGCAAGCTCTGGATCTCGCCCTTTTTCGTATAAGTAATTAAGTTCGTTGAACTAATTAAACCTGAAAAAATCTATACAACGGCAGACACTGAAGATTCAATATGATGCTGTAAATGTATCTGTTATACCGGTACATTACACTTGGGCTACGCGTCCGGCCTTTGCTTCTGAGCGCCGACCATTTGCTAATGTGACCAGATTCACCTTTGAAGAATATTAAGGCAACCAGGTGAGTGCATCAAAATGTTGACCTAGCCATACAGTGACATCTATCATGTCAAATGACGTACGAGGGGCGACAGGCTAGCTCGTACTTAGCACGAGCACGGTGCACATAAATGCGCTATTTACAGACACACAGACAGATAAGTACGATTAAAGTTTTCGGTTTATAACCTTGCTCACAGTCACTCATAGCTTCACCTTCGGGCTCACAATAAAGGCCAGCGATGAGAACTTTGCGTACGACTTTTGTGCTTGGTACGAACTTGAGATGCATGCACCAACGGATCTCCTCGTCTAAGCACATTGATACCGTATTATACGGCATGCTGAGCGTATAGATTAACACATATATTGACCAATCAGAATTGGCTTTTTTCGAATGTTTACTTCATGAAAAACTGAAAGAGTGAATCTGACTGAAAGGGGAGTGAATCTAACAACTTTCAGCACAAAGTCACGTTTGCAAAGATGATGATTGCTGCAAATACTAAATTACAGATTTTACTCAATTTGGTGACAGAAAACTTGTCTGATTGAAAGCATTGACAAAAGCGGCGGGTTACATGCCCGTCGTTTCCAACAATAATTACCGCCTTTTTTTAGATCCTGCCCCACGGAGCAAAATATACTCGTCCATATTCGCGGCCTTGTGTTTATGCAGCATTCAACGAAAATTCTTATGAAACAGTATTTTCTATCGCCCTGCGTTCAAGTTCATGCATTGTTGATTTTCAATCTTCATGTCTATTCGTCTAGTGATAAGGGGCACCCGTTTGGTTGAGCGCCACAAAATTCCACGTGTATTCGCACGCGCAGAGAAAGGTCATCTACTTAAACTACTAGAATGAGTCTGAGTAATGGTAAAAAAAGAATTGCATTTAAAATAGTATAGCTATCACAATAATCTTAGTCTTTATCCAACTAATTTAATCGACATTGTCGTATGACGACAATGTGCTCACCACCCATTGCGCACGTCTAGCAATGATTGGTAATAGTCTCGGCTGATATGTCTTTTATCTACCAATCTTTGAGCAGCACATGTATATTATTCAAAGGGAATATTTTTCCTCAATATTACTATCTTGGGTGATATTGGAAGGAGACTGTCATGCTAGACAATATCCCTATTGACACCATTTGGTGTCAATATCATGTAACGGGCTACCCCGTTACAGCTGGCTGCAGGCCTCTGTGGACATGTCATAAATTCTCCATTTCAACGAGCATTTTACGCTATTTCGGCTACACAATCTTGCTTAAGAACAATCTACCAGTGGTCCTGTAACGGGGTGAATCGATACATAGCAATTTATAAGAAATTGTTAAGAGAATAAAACTATAAGAGTTGTATTCTCAGAATATTGTCATAAGGACGAATTCTCTGTAGCACTTACGAGCAGTTCCTAATTGGTTGATATAAGCCATTCTATCAACCAACGAAGACGCGCCACGACAGACGCACGCAATGAGTGGTGAGCAGAGAGTTGATATGCACGTTTGTATTCAGACATGTTAGACGAGGATAAGCAGTGGTTTATTATCAGACATTAACTATGATAAATACAGTTCTACTTTTTACTTAAACTAAGTACTCGCTTCTTCTTACCGTCTTCCTCTGCACATACGAGTGTACGTGAAGCTCCGAGGCACCGCCTTATTCTGTCATCAGAATAAGTAGCTTGCACTGTCACCAGTACAAGCTTCAGGGTGCCCCGTTACACCTGGTAGCACTTCGTATTCCGTCCAAGGACCACGTTCACATCTAACATGAATATGTTGGATGATGAAGATGACCAAAGCTTTCACGCTACGCGTGAAGGCTACTCCCATTTGAGCGATGTCGAAAGGGATGCGGTTGAACGGATGGGTTCAACCATGGGCATACATGCTGTTAGCGTCATGCTAGAGGCTCTCAATAGAGATGCCCAACATGCTACTATCGCCAAGTTCATTCAAAATGAACTTGACGCTGAACGCGAGAAAGTAGCCTTGCTTCACCAACAATGTTCTCAACAAGCATAGTTGTTGAGAGAACAGGGTGCTCAACAGTTTGAACTGTTGAGACAGCAGCAGGCTGCTGCAGGTGGGTCGATGCACTCGCGTCGACCCGAGACTTTGAAGATTGACATCGCTAAGTATAGGGGAGTCGAAGAGGACTCCCTCTTGAGATGGTTTGTCGAATTGTATGACGCCATAACGGTGCGTCGCATCGAAGATGGGGAGATGCAAGTTGCATTTTCCCAATCAAATCTGGCAGGACGTGCCAAGACTTGGGCACTGGGGCTCAAGCTGCACGACCCATACGCGTTTGGGTCGTTGGAAGTCTTCAAGTCGCGGCTCAGACAAACGTTTGAACCGCCTAGAGCTGAGTTCAGAGCTCGAACCGAACTCTTGAAGCTCAAGCAGGGTAAGCGTGATGTGCACGCTTACGCTCAACATATACGACATCTCACGAGTTGTATAAGTTCCAATCCGGTGGATGAACACACGTTGGTTTCGGTGTTCATGCAGGGTCTTGCGGATGGTCCCGTCAAGACTCACCTGTTCCGGCTTGAACTAGATTCACTAGAACAAGCCATTTCCATTGCGGAACAGGAAGACTTCAGTCTGAGACAGGCTCGCGCCAGCTCGACATCGTATCGTCAACCGAGACGATGTGACAGCGGAGGTCCAGAGCCGATGGAACTCTATTATGTATAGAGCGAGAAGGCTCGCTCTACAGACTACAAGAAGTTGCAGAAATGCAACAGATGTCAAAAGACAGGACACTACGCTTACGAGTGTAGTGCCCCTCGTCCATTGTCTCGCAACACTGGTCGTAGTGACAGTCCACCCATGAGAAAGGGGTAGGGACGCGGGTCCGCTGTTGGTGCAAAAACGCAACAACGGGATGGACCGTCAAAAAACGGACAGGATCAGTAGGTGCGGAGCACCCTACTGATCCAGCAACGTCAAGAGAATTTGTAGGCCTCTTGATGAAGGTTGCTCCCAGCACACAAACGGTGTGCGTTGCTGCTCTAGGTAATGAGGTCTCACTCATTACCTTGAAACTCGAAGTGACGAATAAGTTGTCCCTTCGAGCTCTAGTCGATTGTGGGGCGTCCAACAATTTTGTGCGACGCCAATCGCTAGAAGATGGTCACTTTAAATTCAGTGAATGTGACACACCTCCTACGAGGATGACGGTACGTCTTGCGACAGGCGCATCTGTAACCGTCATGAAGCGTATAGTGAAGATTCACTATACGCTAGAAGATACCCAATACGACGATGACTTTATCGTATTGGATTTGGATGACAAATTTGATGTCATCCTTGGAATACCGTGGTTCAGAAGGTACGAACCACGGGTAAACTGGCAACATCGGACAGTAACGATGCCTGCCGCTTGTTCATCAGATGGCCATCTGATGAACGTTTTGGAGCGTCCACAAGCGTGTGGATGTACTACGAGTGAGTGCGATGGCCTCACTTATGGTACGGTCGTTAGTACGAATGCACAAAACCTTAGTGTACCAAACGGTTACACTTCGGAGCAAATTTCCGGCGGCTGTGAGGAAACACAGGCTGCGCCGAAGGTCCAGCACTTGAATGAGTCGAGTGGACCGGGACAAAGATGTATCCCTAGCGGGGAACATCTAGAAGAGAAACAATCTATCGCTCAGGTTAAACGAAACGATAATCCTAGATCGACTGGAGAGTCTTTCGTAGAGGATCTCGCTGTGGTTGCGCAACCACAGCTAGAGGAAGTCAAGGGGATAAGTCCCGATATTGCAAATACGGCGGAAATAAGTTCCCCGAAACCCGCGGGAATAAGTCCCCGGGAAGACGAAGGAATAAGTCCTTCGAAGCCTGAGGGAATAAGTCCCCAAGAAATGACAGAGACATTGAATGTCATAGTCAATAACGGATCATGTGTAGGCGCTTATACACTTGATCTGATTGCGCCTCCGAAGTTAACTTCGGAGATCACTCAGTTGCCAACGCTCGAACATAAAAGATTCTTGCGTGATCTGCGTAGTGGCAAAGTCAAGCAGATCTGCATACTCGTCGCTGAAGACGAGTATGTAACCGACATAAGGTCAGCAACAGTGTTTACTGAGAACGAGAGAGTTCTCAGTAGTTCATCTATGGACGAGAGTGTCCTAGATGAAAAGACACGAATTGAGCGATATGAGTCCCAATCATGGGAATTGCTCAAGGAAAATCCTCTCTATGAAGATTTGGTTGAATTCAAGGATGTATTCCCTGAAACTGTTCCGTGCGAATTACCGAAGGATAAAGGTATTCGACACGAAGTCGAGCTTAAACCAGGCTCGAAGTACTGCGTCATGAAGCAGTGGCCACTGCCTCGTGAACAAGTACTTGCGATCGACAAGTTCTTTGCCGATCGTTTAGCAGCGGGCCATGTGAGGGAATCAACTTCCCCACATAGCTCTCCGACCTTCTGTGTGCGAAAAGCAACAGGAGGGTGGCGGATAGTGCACGCGTTTAACAAATTGAACGCTGCAACGGTACCGGCTCAGACGCCGATACCGAGGAAGGACGTAATCATTGATGGTATGTCAAAGAGTACCATCTTTTCGCCCATGGATTTGATGCATGGCTTCTATCAAATCCTTATGCGAGAACGGGATATACCCTATACCGCAGTTAGCACGCCTAGCAGCATGCTCTGGGAATGGCTAGTAATGCCACAAGGGCTTAATAATGCCCCTGTCACGTTCAACAGATGTGTATCACATATGTTGAGACCAGTACGAGAATTCGCGCCGAGTTATTTCGATGACGTATTCATCCATAGTCGAGCTATGGATGGAAAGTCGGACGTTGAGGTTCACAGGTTCCACGTCTGACAGGTTATTACAATCATGCGAAAGCATCAATTGTATGCAAACCTCAAAAAGCGAAATATCACTTCTTGGGTGCATCGTTGGTAAGAACGGTGTACGTCCTGATCCCGAAAAGATCAAGGCGATCACCGACTGGCCTGTGCCGGTTGATGTCAAAGGTCTTCGAAAATTCCTTGGGCGAGCGGCGTATTTGCATAAGTATTCACGCAATTACGCCGAGATGACTGTGCACCTCTCTCGTTTGTTGAAAAAGAACGAGAGGTGGTTATGGAACGCTAAATGTCAGCGCTCCTTTGATGGTATCAAGCAGAGCTTGCTACAATAGCCGATCAGGACAGGCCATTTCATGTGGTCTGTGATGCCAGCGATTTCGCAATCGGCTGTGCATTAATGCAGTACGATCTTGAAGGCGTTGAACGCGTCGTCTGCTATCAGTCACGTCAGCTGCAACGAGCTGAGTGGAACTATCCAGTGCATGACAAGGAACTCCTTGCCATGAAGTGTGCACTCGCGAAGTTCATAGTCTATCTATTATTAGATAGACCCTTCATCGTTCACACTGACCATGCGTCATTACGCACGGCAGTGAACAAACCGCACCTTTCTCAATGAATGGCGCGGTGGTTGTCATTCTTTGCAGAATACAACTTTACGGTCGAGTGCAAACCAGGACGACTTAATGTCGTCGCTGATGCACTCTCACGTCGTCCCGACTTTGAAACAGTCGCGAAACCCAACAGTGTGACAGTCACTGTTGCGGTTATGACGTCCTCAGTCTTATCTACAACGTTGTATGATGATGTGAGGCGGGCATACGCCCAAGATGGTGAGGTTGTGAAGTTGTTGACACATCTCTCACAACCATCTCGAGAATCGTTAAAACGATTGTCGCCTGCGTATCGATCTGCATCAGATCGATACACTACTCGCAACGGTTTACTGTACTATACAGCCGTTTCTGGTGACACACCACGTGTTGGCATCCCAGATGATACTGATCTGCGTTTGCGGATCATGTTCGAGTATCACGATGCTCCAATAGGAGGACACCGTGGCCGGATGAAAACATATCTCACGGTGAGTCGAGACTTTTACTGGCCCCGCCAGTATCAGTTTGTGCGAAAGTATGTTCGCGCATGTGAAGTCTGTCAGCGAGTGAAGTCAAGTCCTTCACTGCGTGCAGCTTTACAGCCTCTACCGGTTACGGCTAAGTGCTGGGAATCCATCTCAATGGATTTTGTCTTCGGGTTACCCAAAGACGTACGCGGGAATACGGGTATTCTCGTATTTGTTGACAGATTCAGCAAGATGGTACACCTTGTGGCTGTACCAGAGTCAATCACGGCAAGTGGCTGTGCTTGTGTCTTTATTGACACCATCTTCCGACTTCATGGGTTGCCCCGTGAACTCGTATCAGACAGAGATCCACGATTCACTGCTGATTTCTGGCGTTCCGTGTTCAAATCACTCGGAACGCGCTTGAAGATGTCAACATCTGATCATCCAGAGTCAGATGGTCAGACGGAACGTGCCAATCGTGTCCTTGAAGAGATACTTCGAGGATACGTACACTCCTTTAAGAGTTGGAGTGAGTTTTTGCCGATGGTAGAGTTTGCCATCAACAACTCGGTGCATGCGTCCACGACACATACACCGTTTTACGTGAATGGCTTGCGCCATCCGCGTGTACCCACCTTACTCGGGTGTAACTCTGTTTAAGGGTGGAAGGGACTCGCGCGATCAAAAACCGATTTGGTTCACGCTCATCAAGCTCTGACGATGAGGTCATTGCGTTTGATGCCGATATCGATAACATCGATATCGAAGAAGATGAAGCCAGTGAGAGTGCGGAAGCCCTTACTGAAGAAAAGGTTGAAGTTGCTGTAGTGCACTCACAGCGCACTGAAGCTAACGAGTCATCAGATGAGTTCATACTGGCTCGTGAAGCGGTAGTCCGTTTTGTGCAAGACTCCATCGCCGAAGCGGTGGATAAGCAAAAGCAAAACGCTGACAAGAATGGAAGGGCAAACACTCTTTTATTTAATAAAGGTGACTTAGTCCTACTATCTACAGTTAATCTACCAAAGCATGTAGTGACTAACTTGGGTAGCAGTAAACTACTACCCAAGTACATCGGCCCATTTCGTGTATTGCACCGCCTAGGCAATGCATACACGATCGAGTTACCACGTAAGATGCGAACGCATCCCACGTTTTACGTTGATCAGCTTAAGCCGTACCATCAGTACGCTGCTTCTTCCGATGAAGAACGCCCTTGCGCTCAAGCATCTCGCAGAGAGCCTTGTGCTCCCGATGGTGGGCATCGACAAGGGTCTGAAGAGCAGTTATTTCAGCCCGAGACCGATCAACATTCCCACGTGCTACCCTTAGCTTGTCACGAAGAGATGTCCGAGCTCTCTCGTTCTCAAGCTGAGTAAAGGCAAACTAAGCTCGATGCTTCAAGACAGCGCCCGCCAGTTGAAGACGCCTATTCCGCTCATGCTCGAGGTCGTCGCGTAACGCAAGAGTTACGCGATCAAAGAAGCTCTCGGGGCACATGCTCCCCCACGATTGTGTGGATAGCGTCTTCCCTCCTCCTTCACCTCCATTAGAGGACTCTCGCGGTGGCCAGCGTTATCTAAATGAGCAGCTGTTGAACCACCGCGATGTGAACGGACGTCGGACGAGTTGTCCCGTCCGGTGGCGCGGCTATCCCCCGTCCTGGGATACTTGGGAGCCCCGCTCCCAACTGATGGTTGACGTACTGGGTCTGGTTGAGCAGTACGACGCGGCACATCCTGTGCCGCAGAAGGACCGCCGGAGAAAGTCTTCCCGGCACGGTCGTAAAGGGATTTCAGGTTGTCAATCCCTTCGTACATCTCAGTAGAGATACGTACGCGCCACCACGGGCTAGTAAGGAGGTAAGCCTCGTTAGAGGCTCGTGCAGAGTTGTTCACACAACACGGGCACGAGTCTCCCCAAGAGAGGCAGGGTAATCCTTTCTCCCTGAACAGACGATGCAGCTTGTAGCGTGCACCAGTCGGAGTTCGCTTTTCAAACTTATCACGAGCTTTGATAAGTTTGTCGTTCCAAGCGTAACGACCTACATCCTCAAGGTTATGGATGTAGGCGTTCCACGCTTGAAGTAGTGAGGGACCATCACGCTTGTGATCCCCACTGTACCATCGATGTCTAAAGAAAGCATCGATGAAGAATTCATGTTCAGCGCGATAGTTTTTCGCGCTGGGGTCAAGGTGATGAATCCTTGACGAATCGAACAATCGTGTTCGATAACGATCACTCGTCGTCGCCGACAAGTGATCCATGACAGATTTAGGAGGCATCCATGCCTTCTTCTCGGGAGCGAGACGCAACACATTGCGGTCCCGCTCTTCATGCGAAGTGCCGACAGAAGTACTGGCACCTCGCTGCGAAGCGGTGTCAGTAGGAGAACCGACATCACTGTTATCGCCCGATTCTCGCGACCTTGAGCGCCTTCGCTTCGGCGATGGTTCATCTGACTCATCAGATGAACCAAAGATGCTACGACGCATAGCATCATCCATGCCACGCTTGGCAGGCGGCTTGGATTCAATCGCCTTCGATACGGATCCGTCATCCGTATCAGGAGAGTATGAGACACCGAGCTCATACTCTGTGAAGACATGAGTGTCTTCATGACCAGCGCCTGCATCACCAAGTGACACATGGTTAGTCGCTTCAGCAACCGATGAGACATCAGTTGCTGTGGTTTCTGCTTCGGCGTCCGCACAGAGACGTGCCGACGCGATCTCGGAGGCCTTGCTTGCGCATCGCATGGGCTTGTTAACCATGCGATGAGATGATGGAAAGTGGACTCGGACCAACAAGTGCAAACCCCGTCCCAAATGATCTGCGACGAGTATCCATTTAGTCAATCAGTCACTAAAGTGACTGATGGTTAGGGGGGAGGGTGTAACGGGGTGAATGGTTTCATAGCAATTTGTAAGAAACTGTTAAGAGAATAAAACTATAAGAGCTATATTCTCAGAATATTGTCATAAGGACGAATTCTCTGTAGCACTTACGAGCAGTTCCTAATTGGTTGATATAAGCCATTCTATCAACCAACGAAGACGCGCCACGACAGACGCACGCAATGAGTGGTGAGCAGAGAGTTGATATGCACGTTTGTATTCAGACATAGTTAGATGAGGATAAATGGTGATTTATTAACAGACATTAACTATGATAAATGCAGTTCTACTTTTTACTTAAACCAAGTACTCGCTTCTCCTTACCGTCTTTCTCTGCACATACGAGTGCACGTGAAGCTCCGAGGCACCGCCTTATTCTGTCATCAGAATAAGTAGCTTGTACTGTCACCAGTACAAGCTTCAGGGTGCCTCGTTACACTAGTGGCTAGGAAACGGGTTGTGTTTTGTGTGCTAAAAAATAAAATGCTGATAGATCTTTGTGTGTTGAAGGTACTTGTGGCATTCGTTATGTTCTAACGAGACGAACGTTAGAAAAGGTAGACAAAGGATAATCTTGTTCGTCAACGCTGTCTACCAAAAATGCGGTCGACGACATTTAATTTTTGGTAAAATAAATAAACGCCCCATTTGATCACGAAAGCAAGAAAATGCCCCAGGTAACTGGACAATAAAAATGCCCCACGTCCTGGTATACCCTAGTTAATGTGGTAAGCATTTACCGACATTGTGCTTCGATCGAACGCTTAATCTGATTGTTGTGCCCTTCATACGCTTTGCGCTGATACGTCTGACTTACTTAATCGATTAGCCCTTGATTACAGTCACGCGAATATTTACCGTAACAGAATTACGCTATGCTCGCCTATGCGCTACACTACATGTTACGGAGCACCCTTTGTTTGGGTGCCACGAGACTTCACGTACACTAGTACGCGCAGAGGAAGCTAATCTACTCAAACAACTTGTTTGAGTAAAGGGTAAAAAGAGAACTGTATTTAATATAGTTAAGCTATCATTGTAACTTTAATCTTTATCTAACTATGTTAAACTGCGTCGTCGTATGACGACAACCTTCTCACCACTCATTGCGCGCGTCTAGCAGCGACTAGTGGTAATCTATGGTTGATATGTCTTTATCAACCAATCTTTGAGCAGCACATGAATATTATCCTAAAAGGGATAATGTTCCTTCAGCATTATCCATCTCGGATTATATTGGTAGGATATTGTTGTGCTGGACAATCTCCCTATTGACACCGTTTGGTGTCAATATCATGTAACGGGCTAACCCGAAATATCCCCCCCTATCCATCAATCACCCGTTAATTGAATAGAATTGAATGAGACAGGGTGACCACCGCTGGATTACTTTGGGAAAGGGAGCATTTGTAGGTCAAATTTCATTCATTTGCCAATCTAACGCATAGTTTCAAAATCCAAGCGAGTTGCTGTCGAAGCTTTAAAAAAAGCGCATGCACGCATGCGTGAAGCCGAGGAGATTTCTTCTCCAGCTGTAAAATAAGCGGATGCACGCATGCGTGAAGCCGAAGAGAGTTAGCTTAAGCAGCAGGTGATTCTTCGCCCGCTGTTGTGATTCAGCAACAGGTGGTGCCTGTTGCAAACAGTCCACGTGGTGAGTCACCACGTGCGACAGATGCATCCGCTTCGTCTGCAGTGGGTACTACGAATCGCAACGTAGATAAGCCAGGAATTGAGCTCTATTCTGGATAGTCGGATGATGTATCCGACTCGAAGGCGACACCTCACGCCTCCGAATCACCCAAGGCGGACACTGCAAGAGATAGGTTGACTGGCTCTGGTCAACGTGGCGGTATCAGGTCCTAGATCTTCGGATCGAGCGATTGTTCTAACGAGCCTTCGCCTCACGCGAGTCCATCCAACGATAGGACGCGTGAAGATGGTGGTGATGGTGGAGATGGACCTATACATCACCACGAGCTAAGAGACTCGAGGGATCGGGGTGTCACTGGTGTCAGTGCTCACGCTGGCACCAATCAAGAGGCCAGAGACCGAAATGTCTTGCGCCACGCTCCTCAAGTGGAGTCTCCATGGATGCCGCCATTCAGAGAGTTGGAACGGTTGGCTGGCACGACTACCGAACGGAAATGAATCCCGTTGTTCGATTGCAGGAAGATTTGCCCTCCTGATTCCAGCACGGAAACTATTCGTACTGAGGAAAAATTCTTCACCGATGCGTTTTTCAAACATCGGTGGTACAATGGCATCCGTGCTCGAGACGGAAAGGCCTTGGTGCAAGAATGCAATGCCCTCACCCATAACATCGAGTGCATTGGTCGTGAGGTCTGGCTCGGTAAACTTGATGCAGCTCTCATTGGGTTTGAGAAGCTCACCCAGTCTGGGCGCGATACAAGTTGCACCGGCTTTCAAGAGAGGCAGGATTACCCTGTCTCTCGTGGAGTGATTCGTGTCCAGGTTGCCTAGGCAACTTGAACCTTGCCCCTAGGGAGGCCTACCTCCCTATTGATCAATACTGGAGGGTGCGCATCTCTTTTGAGATGGCCGAGGGGATTGACACTTCGCAATCCCTGTACTTACGTTCATAGAGGTCGTTTTCCGACGGCCCTTCTTCGAACGCAGCGAATAAGTCTCGTCATAATGCTCGAAGAGACCTAGGACATCAACTATTATCTGGGAACAAGGCTTTCAGCTGTTTTACGCTGGTGGATAGCCACGCCAGCGGACGAGGTAACTCGTCCGGACACCATTCACATCGCGGTCGTTCATACATGCTCCACTAGGAAGCTTAGACCACCGCCTGAGTCCACCAAAGGATGTGGTGGCGGCGGAAATACCTGATCAGGCTCGAGGGTCGGATCAGCTTGATGTTCAAGAGCTAAACCGTGTAACAAATAGTTGCAAGATGACGTGGCTCACGAACGGAATCGGCGTTTTGAGCTTGAGGGTCTTGTAAGGGATAATTTTAATTTCCTAACGCACGATCGTTAGGACGATCGTGCCGCTTTTGTGTTCGCGCAACTTGGGAATGAACTTTTGACTCGTTTTCTTTGTGATGAGCTGGCTGTAGCTCGTCGAGACGTCGCTCAGCCGCGTGAACAGGTCGCTTCTCTAGTCGACCATACTGGCTCATTCAAAAGGGACCACTCGAAGGTGTTCTCGGTCTTCTAAGGCGGAGGTGTTCTTCGCTTATTGAAACGGGATCGGATTGATAGCACGGGCGAAGACGTCCAACGTAAAACGAGGGTGAGTATGCATCCTACGAGGCAGTTCAATAGTGTATGCGTTGCCCATAAGGCGCAACACACAAAATAAATTGAAGTAATTGGGCAGTAATTTACTGCTGCCCACGTTTGTCACTGCGTATTTTTAATATTTTTGCTGTAGACAGTAAAACCAAAACTTACTTTTAATCGAACGAAAGAATGTTTGCTCTTCCAAGTTTGTCTGCGTTTCTTTTCTGCCTGTCTAGTGTATCTGCAATAGAGTCGTAGACGAAGCGGACAACCGCTTTGAAAGTCAGCAGAAATTCCTCTGCTGATTTATCCTTGTCAACATCAGTGCGCTTCGTGTGCACTGCTGAAAGAACGTTGTCTTCACCAGTGAGAGCGTCATCGTCCTCACTGTGGCAGTCATTGGCGATGCTGAATATACCAGCATCGTCGTCATTATCACCGTCGGTGTCAATTGCATCGACATCGACATCCATCATGTCGACACCATTGTCGACGGGTAGTGAGCAAGAACCAGATCGGGTTTTGATCAAGTAAGTCCACCCCATCCCCCTTAAACTAGAGTCACACTTAAAGAAAGCGGGCAACGTGGATGGCGTAGGCCATTCACGAAAGTCGCTGTATGCGTGTCGACGCATGCACCGAGTTGTTGATGGCGAAATCCGCCATCGGCAAGAGCTGACTCCAACTCTTGAACGAGTGGACATAACCTCGAAGTGTCTCTTCGAGGACGCGGGTGACGCGTTTTGTCTGACCATCTGTTTCTGGATGGTCAGAAGTAGAAATCTTCAAGCGTTTTTCAAGTGAATAGAACACAAAATTGCAAAAACTCCGCTGTGAAGCGGGGGTCCGTATCAGGAACGAGTTGACGGAGTAACCCGTGAAGTGGGAAGATAGTATCGATGAAGACACGAGCACAGCCTTGGGCTGTGATTGACTCTGGTACAGCAACAAGATGTACCATCTTGTTGAACTGATCAACAAACACAAGAATACTAGTATTCTTTTGAATGTCTTTGGGAAACCCGAAGACAAATTCCATCGATACGGACTGCCAGCACTCTGCCGGAATCGGTAGAGGCTGCAAGGTTGCGCAGGATGAAGGACTAGGCTTCACCCGTTGACAAAATTCGCTAGCGCGTATGTATTTGCGCTCAAACTCATACTGGCAGGGCCAGTAGAAGTCACGACTCACCGTGAGGTAAGTCTTTTATCCTTACAGCGATGCCCACTTGTTGGGGCGTCATGACACTCATGCATGATGTGCAAAATAAACTTGCTGGTCCATTATGCGAAAGGTGCACTATCCCTTTTTATAGAGTTCCAAATGATTATTAGCATTATGCTTCAGAATAAGTTCAAACTCAAAAAATCGCAAAATTATTATGAGCGGGAACGACGACACGAGGTGTGTAGACGTTGAATGGTGTATAGTACAGCAGTCCATCACGAACCGAATAACGTTCGGTCAAAGAGCGGTATTAAGACGTCAAGCTTAATTCAAATCTTGACTGCATAGATTAGACACGTAATCTATCAATCGCAGAAGAGACTCATCTTCTGCGTATGCTTTCCGCACGTCGTCGAGCAGATCCGACGACGGAACACTCA